CCCCCCCCCCCCCGCCCCTTTAACTCTTCTTTTAAAATGAATCCTTGCATATATAATGCCCACTGACAGGCACTCGCTTCTCGTGAGCGTTCATGCATACGCCCTCCCATGTTTCTACCTGTGCACCATATGCGCTTTCCTCCGCATGCTCGTCCAATAGCGTTGAGGGGTCGGTCGGTCCCGGTGGAGCGACATCACGATTCCCGTCCGTTCGCTCCGAGACGCGACGACGTCGGCGCTGTTTGCGGAGTCGCCGAGCGTGTTTGCGGTTCGGTAATAGCTTTGCGAAGCGCCGATACCTCGGGATTTCCATGCGTGTGCAGCAGAGTTTAAAGAAAAAAAAAAAGAACAGGATGTGTCTCCTGTAGAGGCATCAACAAATGAAATGTATTGGAGGATATCAAAAACAGTAACAAATCCTGAAGGGGGCACTCTAGGACCTTCAAGAAGGCTATTTTGGAAAACCTGGCGGGTTGTGCTCTGCGTAGAATTTGACTGAATACTTGAACACAACCGAGAACTCCCTGCCCGTTTCCTCGCTTCTGACGCACACACCGGCGGTCACGGTGGCTCACTTGTGGTCCTTTTGTGCTCCCGTCTGTGTCCCCCTCATCCAATTTCCACTTTGTGCCGTCGTGGGGCGGAGGCCGAGGAAGATTTTATTTCGGAGTAGACCTGGACTCGAGTGAAGATGCACCTGACACCCCCATTAGCGGTTTTTCCGATCTTTCTCAGCCCCGTCTCGGGAAGTTTACCAACATGTTGCCTTTCATTTCAGGATCCTCCATAAACAAAATATCCCCCGGGACGGGCCGCGAGGGTGAATAACGAGCGCCGAGAGGTATCGGTCGGGCTTTTTTTTTTCTTTCCTGGAGGACAAAAGCGCCCCTCACGGAGAGACGTTTCAGTCACACCGAGCCGAGGCGCATTAATATTCGATTGCGCCGCATCTTGCCTCGACACAGGCCAACAGGCAGCGAGGAATCACATCTGTCCCGCGCTGCCGAATAAATGAGTGAGTCACCTCAGTGAAAGGTCAACGTGAAGACTTGGAACAGTTCAGGCGCACTTTTTACCGGTGCACGATCTGTCTTCAGGACAGTTAGAACCATTTTTTTTTTTTTTCTGGCATACACAATCCTTGGACTTCTGATTGGCTGAAAGGCCTCAGTCGTTGTACAAATGTCTCTCCGCGCGGGCCATCGCAAAATGTATTTTACACAACCGTAGCTTTGTTGAGCTTGGCATAGTAAAAAAAAAAAAAAAAAAAACAAACAAGCACCTTGAGTCTTTCCCACTCACCGTCCAGTAGCTCCAAGTAATAATTATTCTGCTTACTCCTGCTGACCCTTCGATGCGGGCTGAATGATTCCACATATGCTCGATCATGAATGAATGAAGGCAGATGCCTTCTGGCTAATGGTGCCATTCAGGGCGAGAATGTTAGTCCGTGGTGGTGTGAGTGTGTGTGTGTGTGTTTTTTGTTTGTTTTTTGTGTGCGGGCGTGTGGTGCTCCGGGACGACCACGTTGCGGCCTTCCGAGCAGCAATACAGGGTGTAATTACTTCAAGCACCATTAGCAGCACAATAACTTTGAGCTGAGCTGAAAAAAAAAAAAAAAGTCCTGAGTTGTGTGTGTGTGCGTGCGTGTGTGTGTGTTTGTTTGCCTGGCTGCCGGGGCGGCTTCGCTTTGTTTTGTGATTAACAAGTCATGAGTGGGCTCTCTTATGTTTGCTAACAACGCGCTAGCTGAGGTAATGACTTCTCGCTGCGCACTCACTCACTCTTGGGGATTCGGGAGCTCGCCGAGAGGCACTTCGCCGAATAAATCATAACTTTTGACCCGGGCTACTTCAAGCATCTTGAACCGTTCCGACATTATTGTCTAAAATTAATAATGGCTCTCATTCTTACAATCAAAAATAAAAAAATAAAAAATTCGAACAATGGCGATGATGTCGAATCATCCTGTTCAGCGTCATTCAAAGCGGGCCGGTGCTGTGATGTCACTGCAACATTTTTGAGCTTTGGGTCGAGGTGGGCAGCCAAGAGCTGTACTCAAGAATATCACGGAAGTTTAAAAAAAAAAAAAAAAAAAATAGAGTCCTCAAAATAACGACCTGCTGCTTTTGATTCCACAGAATGACAAAAGCAATCTCTTGTACGCTTCTTGAGTCCCAAGTGGAGTTCTTGTAAGCTGAAATGTCAACATTTTAGGCGCTGGCAAATGAATGCGAGAGAAAAAAAAATAAAAGAGAGAAAAAGAAAAGAAATACGAGGGCTCATCTCTCCAATCTGACCTTTAGCACGTGCAAGTGCATTATAGCGTTTGAGAGATTGACGTGGGGGGGCGGTATGAAGAGCCACTAGCGGCCCCTGACCGAGAAGATGGACTCTTCCAGCATCATTGATCTACCGTAGATCTCTCGCAGGGAGCCCGTTGCGATCGATACAGCTCCCCCCCACCCCGAAGCTGCTCCTCCTTCCTGCGTTCTTATTTATCTGTCACTAAAATTTACACTTTAGTCCGCTCGGATGCCGCGTAATGACACCTTTAATGAGGCCGGCCGGGATGTTTCCAATTTGCTTCGTGTACTACTTTTCGCCCGTTTTCCTATTTAGCGAGCCTACCTAATGATGTGTCCAGTCAGTGATAGATCGGAGAAACTCGCTTTAAACACGTGCGACAATAAAACTCGGCACCAGTATCTTGATTGGAGAAAAGTTTATTTATTTATTTTTTTGTTTTGTTTTGTCCGTCGATGAGTTGAGAGTCACGTGACACGAAGATACCCGCGCTAGCATAAATAATATCGCCGACTTCAAAAATAGTCACAAATCTACTGTAACCTTTCCCCAAGAGACATCAAGACCGGCTTGACATCCGGAGGTCTCTAATGACGGCAACAAAATAATCTCATTCGGGGCTCATTTCAGCCGAGCTTGCGAGCGGTTCGCTTTTAGCCGCGGCGGAGCCGCAGGTGCGTCGTCGCAGCGGCGCTGAGACACACCGCGCCACTTAGCAACCACTTTGCCTTATTATCCGGAAGACGTCGTTGGGGCCCTGTTAGTTGATCAGATGGGCTCTTTTCAAGACTTGCCCCTGAATCACATCTGTCTTCATCAAAGGAACATGAATGAGTCTTTTGAATTGATCTGGTCTGTTTTTTTTTTTTTTTTTGGATTCATCATCTCTTGTGGCTCCTTGAAGCCTGGACCACAGAAAAGCGAGCTCGCCAAAATGTGCTTTCAGCCGGCAGATTGGTGCGCCGCCGCTTCCAGAAGCCACACCGGACTCTGGTGGTGGTTCTTCTCCTCGATGCCGCGGGCAAACACTCTGATCAGCTGGCACTGGACACTGCGGAAAGAATCCACACATCATTTCGCGACTTTTGCTCCATGATATGCGTCACCAATCGTGATTTTTTTTTTTTTTTTTTGGTGCTCTTTCTGTAGTTCCTGTACATCGCTGGCACAGATGGCTGAGCAAAGAAATTATTTTTGCATTGCGCGCCGTATTCCACAGCCTTTGCCTGAACTCTTTCCTCCGTCACTTGCTCTTTAATTATCGTGGGAGGCGAGCGCTCGGACCGGCTCATTCCCCCCGGCCGATTTGCGCGTTGGTGATAAAATGGACGGACATCCCCCCTCCGCCTTAATTAAAAAGGAGTGCACCTTTAACACGGGGAGGAGTGTTGAATTAGCAGCGTTACAGCGCGACGCCTCGTTGGCAGGGGACAACGGCGCGTGAAGCTTGTTGTGGAGCCTCGATTTTACGATCGGCGCTTTGCATTTGGGGTTCGCGCACCTGACTTGGATGGCAACGTGAGGCAGGATCTCGCCGTCGCACGTCCAGTGGCTGCAGCCGCAGTTGCCGTAGTGGCACCCGGCGACTCGGGAGCAAACGGGACCCTGGTCCGCTTGCTTCTGGGGCCCGCTCAGGTCCTCCAGCGACACCGGGTCATCGTGGCGGGGCTGGAAGCGGAACTTGCGCACCCGGTGGACCTCCACGAAGGAGTGGTCAAACTGCGGGTGGATCAGAACTCCGGGTTAAGAGAAGACCACGAGATCTCACTCGATGCTCTCATTCGTGATGGGCTCCAGCTCGGCCGCGTTCCAGAAAAAATAATGAGCAATTAGCACCTTTTGAGGCATGTGCACTCCTAGCCACTAGGTGGTGCTCAAGCACTTGCCCTTTTTTTGACCTGGATGAAAAATCTGCCCATTTTTTCCTTCAGTTACCTATAGTGTGTGTGTGTGTGTGTGTGTGTGTGTGTGTGTGCGCGCGCGCTTGCAGTTTAAGTGAAAGGCGAGATGCTGTAAAAACGTTAATTTTACCCCCATTATATTCGAACACATCCCCGGTGATTCCTTAATGAAAAGTTTTTCCGATTTGCTTCTCGTTTACAAAAACAGCAGGAAGGCAAGACGGAGGCGCATTAAAGCAAATCAGCATCGGAGGAGCGAGAGGCCGGCCGGCCGGGCGGGGTCGGCGGCGGGGGGGGGAGAGAACGCATTATTTTGTCAGTCTCCCTTTTCGTCTCAGTCAGCGTCGCCGAAAGGTTCACTCGTGTCCCGCAAACAATTTTCTCCAACTTCACGGGATGCCACTTTTTCTCTCTTCTCATCTCTCTTCGCTGTCGCCCGCTCCCGTCACCCCGCCCCCAAAATAGCAGAGTGACAGCCGTTTATTTGAACATCGGGCTCACTTTATGACCGCGGTCTCGCTTTGCATTCACGCCGGACGCTCCGCCTAAAAGTCTTTGTGACAAGGCCATGAATACGCTTAGTGGTTTCTCACTCCCGTGTTTTTCTCCGCCCGACCGAACATCGCTACTGATATGAAGTGAATTGTCAGCCGACTCATGCCGCCGCCGCTTGTCCGCAGTGCGGAGAGATGCCGCAGATGGTGACATTCATCCCGGGGTATCCGCTTTGTTGCGCGCCGAAATATTGATTTCGCTCTTTGACTTTGCGGTGACTTTTAAGCACGTTTGACAGAGGCGGCTCACACACCTGCGCTGTCGATCCACTTCCTGAGGTCATAATTACTAATCACCGGAGTTCCTACGCTATCCTGAGACGGCTTTAGTCTGGTTCTTACGCTCCACGCGGCACAGATGCAGCGATTAGCTCCGGGTCCGCCGAGGTGAAGGTTATTTACGACACACGTAGGTGAGGGGCGTTTGAGCTTAAGTGAACCGTTGTTTGCCGAGTCAGCGGGAGGGAGGGGCTAGCGCGGCGAGTGGGCTCGGCGAAGTCCCGCGGGCCGAAAAAGATTGACAGGGGGCTACCTGGTCTTCCTTGTTGGTGTGGCGAAGGAGGTGCTTGAAGAAGTCCAAGCGGGAGCATTTGCGCACCAGGATGAGGTCGGCGGTGCCGTCGGCCAAGTGGGCGGCGGGCGACAGGCCCTGCGGACTGCGGGGACACGCGCAGCTCATGTTGGCGGCGTTGATGGCGATGAATTTCCCGTGTATGTCGGTCCAAGTCTCATTGACTAAACGGGGGCGGGGGGGGGGATAATTTTATGCGTTATTAACCAATTTAAAGTGTTGAATTTAACTTTTGTAATCTGTCCAAATAATGTCTCTCTATTCCCAAAGTTGTGTTTAGGATCTGTATCGGTTCCAACCCCTCACAACTATTTTTTTTTTCTGGAACTTTTTCCGTCAAAACAGCGCCAGCGTTGCACGTCTCATCCTGTCATCTTCGCCACTTTTCGCTCGCGGGTTTTCCACGCGACTCCCAATGTCAAGAAAGGGTTGTACAAATAGACAAACAAGCGAATAATGAGGGCGGTTAGTTTTCATCTGTTATTCCAAGCCTGGAAAACCTTTACCCGCGTGCGACGGGTCGTCATGGCGCGGCTCCCGTAACGAGGTCTTGCGCTGGCAGACGCGGCACCTGCAACACAAGCGTGACCCGGTTTTACATTTGTCGCGGCGTCGCTGTCACATTCAAGGCTTTAACAAGCCTAGCTGATGCTTTATTCGCCTGAGACGCGGAGGAACGTGGAGGTTTTACTGATCAACCCCGCCCCGCGTATCCGCTTTATACCAGAGCGCCATACGCGAGGGCTTGATCAGGGGTGTATTTTATTATTATTATTTTTTTAAATAAATAATTAAAATAATGCAAGATGATAGTTTATTCTACTACGCTAGCTGATACTGTTGATGAAGCTCACGTGAAGGCGATTTGTTGAATATTTTCACTACTGAATGTCGTCGTTTATGTAACATGGGTTCACCGTTGCGTACATGTTAGAAGTAGGGCTCGGTACGTATCCCGCTGAATAATAAGGGTTCAAAGTACTTTCCAAACCAAAACCTGGACGTATTGAGCTATTAAGATTCTGCATCAAAGCAGAAGTCCCTCCTCGGATCAGTCTCGCCACCAGCTTTTGAAATGTTTCTTTTTCGGCTGCTTTATTTACCCGGCGCGACACTGCTCCTTGTCCCGAGGGTCGCCCACGTTGTCGTCAGCCGTGACGAACGAGACGGTGCCTTCATAATAGTTGTGACTCAGAAAGGTCTTTACCCCTGGAAGGAAAACACAGAGCGAGCCTTGAGAATTGCTGCCAATCGCCTTCTGTCTGCTTTGTTTAGACCTGAGAAGACAATTTGGAGTCACTAATTGCGCTGCCCTTCCTCTTCTCTCGGCTAAATGACAAAAGCATGAGCGCCCGCGTTGTGTTGAGCATCGCGGGATGCAGTTTTGCACCACTCACTTATCGGTTGATGTGCATAAAGGATGCCGAGTTTCTACTCTTGGAATTCAAATAGCTGCTTTCTTGATTACCAATTTGCACTCGTCTCAAGCCCAAACGTGAAGTTGAAGCCCCATTAGTGGTTGCTGCTTTTGGATGGCTGACTATTCCGCTTTGCATGTGGTGGTCTTATTGATAGCCAACATTTAGTGTATTGATTTAGACTCTGCCTCTTTTTTATTGCTCTTTTTTTATTTATTTTTTTTGGTTTCTATTTTCAAACTAAAAATTAATCTTTCTTTGAAGGACTTGGGGCCATGTAATTTTGTTCTTATTTTTTGATCCATTAAAAAAAATATATATATATATATATATATATATATATATATATATATATTTAAAAAATGTATCTGTGCTTCATTTTATTAGCATTTTCATCTGACTACATATATTTTTTACTTTCGGTAAGTCCTTAACTACCAAAAAAAAAAAAAAAAAAATCCATCACATTTTTTGTTATTTTGCTATGCAATATTGTCATGCAGATTGCTCAAGAATTGGGTGGGTTGCTTATCAAGGTGTCGGGCAAGTTAAGTTCACCTCAAGCCAACCGTTGCCACTTTGATCGCCGGGTCATAGACGACATGAAATGAAGTTGGCAGCAGGGGCAAGAAAGTTCAGGTCAGCGGAGGGGCGGTCATGGGTTCAAATAACAAGCAAGCTCATCCACGGCGGCGAATGCTGTTTTTGTTACCCGACAGGTCATATCGAGCGGGGCCCAGCCATCGCTGCCTCTCGCTGTCGGTCTGAATGTCGGCGTAGAAGCCGTAGCCCAGCAACGAAACGGAATATCGGAGGAATGTGTCGTTGTGGTGCACCGAGGACACGTCCATGGGTTGGGAGTCACCTGTTCATACAATCACAATCCACTATTGTGACTAAAAGACGAGGGAAGAAAAAAAAAAAGACAACAATATACTGAAGAGTCACACCCACCGACAATAATGTGCAAGGCGGACGTAACCGGATCGTTGGTTCCCACTGTCGCAAAGCAGATGCAATCAGTGGAGCCTGTTGACGACACATGAAAGTACATTGTCAGTAGTAACGCTGTACTGGGAGTATATTTTGAGTACCTCAATTTACATAACTTTTTTTTATAATTGACTTTTTCAAGCGTTCAAACATTTCCAAGCTGTCCAAGTCAAATGTTAAGAGTACATTTAAGATAACGACCCAGTCGACAAGCCCCTAAAGGCCCATTCGTTCTTCGGTATTAAGAGGAGCAGCCATATGTTCACATGAAGGCAAAGTACCCTCAAAATACTTTGTTGCAGTATGTTCCGAAAAGGCCTCATGGGCATGGTTAAACATACATCAGTTTTCTGCGCTTTTGACCGTTAAAAAGGTTATAAAAGCCATGTGAGCGAAAATAGTGCTACAGTAGTTAATACATATGAACAAAACATGAACTGTTGTCCTTTCTGTTGTATTTTAATGGACATTATTTGGCATCGGACAAGATGCGCCGGCCATTTTCTTCCATGCACCATCAAGTGCTGCTGTTCTTGTGGTTTAAGAGCTCCCTCTAGTGGTACATTAAAGCATCACCCTTCCATCTACCGAATTAAAAATGGTCATGCTGCATCATGTCGTTACTTTTCGGTCTAGTTTTGGTTGTATTACATTTGAGGGCAATGTACAGTCATGCTTTGAGATAAGAGTTTTTTTTTTTTGTTTCGTATCCATGCCCGTGTTGTTTGTTAGCACTAAGCTAAAGTGCAATTCTATGGCATTCAAAGCAACGACGTCGACCAAACGACGGCTCGCATCTCCAAAAATCCATTCGATTGGAGGATGTGGAGTTCTTTCCCTTTGCTCTTTTATCCGGCAACTTGAGGAAGCCGGACGCAGAAGAACCAGCGGGGTCGCGTTTGAGCCCTCGTCTCAAACAAACAATCACGCTGTGCCCCGGCCAGCCCCCGCGCTTTGCATTTGCACTTTTCGTGCAATTATTGCCGAAATATCCCATAGCTCCGTCTCATTGATGACACTTGGAATGACCGACCCAGTCAAGCCCCCCCCCCCCGTGGGACGAGCTGCCGCGTTGCCATGGCAGCTCGTCCCTCTGTAGTAACTCAGCAATGCGGCGTTGATCAGCGGGGCCCAAGTTCTCCTGCTGTCATCCGATACGTACGTCGCCTCAAAAGTGCCTCACTTCCAATTCTAATGATGATCAACATTCATTTTTACCACGCAGGCTCACCCGCTGGGATGATCCCGATGCGGAGGGAACATGGCGCCAAATGGGCGTCGGGTCGGTTGGCGTCGATGCCGTGCTCGCTCTGGGTCCTGGCGACCAAGCCGTGCAGGATCTCGTTGAACATCCCGTCTCCGCCCACGGACACCACTCTAAACACACATCGAACGGCAACGTTTGCTGCGGAAGCTCTCTGCCGACAATGGCTTGCGCTGTAAGAGGTGACTACAACCTTTTTTTTTTTAACCCCCAATTGAGCTGTTCAGCTTAATGGCGGAAACAAAGTTTTGAAATAGTTATTTTTCACATCGGAACAGGGGTGTGTCGACTTTTTATAACCACTCTGTATTGTCATTGTTCACAGTGGAAGGTATTTTAATCCATTTGAATGCTGTCATTTAAAATTCTATCAACAAGTATGAATCATATGCGATACGACACTTATGTAGTAAGATTTTTTTTTTTGAACATTTTTTTTTGTGGAATTGACATGACAATCTTTTGTTGACAATTTAAAACTCACCCATCGTACTGATCCAGATTTGCTTCCGTTTTCAAGTGATCTCTGGCGTGATTGGCCCGCTCTGTCACTACGGGGACAAATAAAGTCGTCGTTTCCTGTTAGCCCATTGACAAGGAAAAGACAATAACCGGCAGGCAAGAAAAAGTACCGCAATTTGAAGTATTTAGTGGACCCCCGTTGGACAGATTGGTATATGGGACAGAAGTGCAACAACAACAACTACAAGAAAACCCAATTCGGGTATATCACCGCCCCCAAAAGGAGCCCGCAGCCAAGAAAAACTAAAGAAAACTAAAATTCCAACTGTAAATCTGTGCGGCGCCCTTCGAAATAACAACACAAATAAAAGACTTTCCAGCGGCTGCCGGTACTCGGGAGCAAACTGTATTCACTCCGATGGACCATCAATAGTGCCGACGATGTGTAGCCGCCGCAAACACTTATTGAATAATAGATGTGTTTGGATACCCGAGCTTATCAGCTATCAGCACCTCCATTAAAGGTGCCGGCGTGATGAATGGCGCCATCAGCCAAATCATATTCCCGCGAGCCTCTTCGCGCCGACACGGGCGGGCCGCCGAGAGTCATTTTTAAAATTTAAAACGTTGAAGGCACACCTCCGGTATAGCCACCCACCAATCACATCCGTGGCGATGCAGGCTCGGCAAAACAGCGGCGCCACCTTCTGATCGTAAATGTGCTTCCCGTCCCGCTTCCCGCCGTAGGGATTGATGTACACCAGCAGGCTCTTGGGCCGATTGGCTGCGGAGAGAAAGTATTAAGATGATTTTTTTTTTTTTTTTTTTTTTTTTTTTTGTGCACCTTGACATCAAGCTTGATGAAGTTTTCATTAACGAGAGAAACCTTCGAGCGGGGCTGCCGGAGAAAGAATGAGGGCCGCGCGAAGCAATTGCGAGGCGCTGCATCATTTGGTGATAAACCCCGCAAAAAGCGCCTCGACAGAATTTGCTAAATGGCCTGTTCACGGCTGACGGAGGCGACCCCGGCCGCCCGACAAACGTCGACGCCATTCGCAAATGAATGGATGGGGGATCCGGGCGCAGTCGCGACGCAATCCAATCAACCGAGTAAGACATTCCAAATGTCCTCAACGTTCTGGTTCCTAATGTAATGACGTCGCTGGAACACATTCAGCCGTAGAGCACTCGGAGCGCGAAGCCCCGCCAAGACTTGTCACCTGCAAAACGAATGGAGGAACGTGAACAATCAGTCGTCGGAAAAGTGAAGCTTCAGCCAATAGAGAACAAAAGTAGCTTTGTTAAATGACTCAAAGGATGTAAATTGACGACATTTCAGCGCATTTTCCAACCAAAACACTTCAGTGCATTTAAAACCAAGGGGGGGGGGGGGTAGCTTTCTGAAATTACCATAGAGTAAAATACATTTTGTGGGGTGTCCATATTTGGGGTTGACTTTACTTTTCTTGGCTAATTCTATTTGCGTGCAGCATAACAGCTAAATGCCGCTTCACCATGTTTGCTTTGAAACCTGGGCTCGACTCATCGACCCGAATCTGCAGACCGCAGAGCTCTACTCAGTTTATATTCAATTAACACTCTTCTGTCATTCAGTCAGCAGTAGAAATTTGGCTGCAGAAAATGTGATCTTTGTGAAAAACGTGTCAAGTGACGCTCATATTTTTTTTTTTTGCTTTTGTGACACCCCAAACTATAAAACAACAAGAAAAAACAAAGTGAAGAAAGGTCTTTTGATCACAAAAGAATTTTACTTAGATATAAATGATCCTTCGTCTTGTCACGTCTCTCCCTCATTCATCCCTTAATCTCGATCTTCGACTCAAAAGCTGTGCTGATCTCAGATCCCCAGCGATACAAATGACGCCATCTCCAGGGATGTGCGAGTCACGCTGGATAGAAAATACCCACCCCGATGCAACAAGTCAAACAAAGTTGAGACCGCGAGGCAGATGTGCTCACCAGAAAACCGCCGCAATGCCTCGACAGCTATAAGCATTCGCATTCGGTCGGATCTGAGCTCCAACCTGCAACACGGCACAATTTCAACTGTTGCGCTGCCACCGTTTATACGTCTGGGCCCGAGAGGGACTGCCTGCGAGAGAGCTGATTTGCTAAATGGCCTGTTCGCGGCTGACGGAGGCGACCCCGGCCGCCCGACAAACGTCGACGCCATTCGCAAATGAATGGATGGGGGATCCGGGCGCAGTCGCGACGCAATCCAATCAACCGAGTAAGACATTCCAAATGTCCTCAACGTTCTGGTTCCTAATGTAATGACGTCGCTGGAACACATTCAGCCGTAGAGCACTCGGAGCGCGAAGCCCCGCCAAGACTTGTCACCTGCAAAACGAATGGAGGAACGTGAACAATCAGTCGTCGGAAAAGTGAAGCTTCAGCCAATAGAGAACAAAAGTAGCTTTGTTAAATGACTCAAAGGATGTAAATTGACGACATTTCAGCGCATTTTCCAACCAAAACACTTCAGTGCATTTAAAACCAAGGGGGGGGGGGTGTAGCTTTCTGAAATTACCATAGAGTAAAATACATTTTGTGGGGTGTCCATATTTGGGGTTGACTTTACTTTTCTTGGCTAATTCTATTTGCGTGCAGCATAACAGCTAAATGCCGCTTCACCATGTTTGCTTTGAAACCTGGGCTCGACTCATCGACCCGAATCTGCAGACCGCAGAGCTCTACTCAGTTTATATTCAATTAACACTCTTCTGTCATTCAGTCAGCAGTAGAAATTTGGCTGCAGAAAATGTGATCTTTGTGAAAAACGTGTCAAGTGACGCTCATATTTTTTTTTTTTGCTTTTGTGACACCCCAAACTATAAAACAACAAGAAAAAACAAAGTGAAGAAAGGTCTTTTGATCACAAAAGAATTTTACTTAGATATAAATGATCCTTCGTCTTGTCACGTCTCTCCCTCATTCATCCCTTAATCTCGATCTTCGACTCAAAAGCTGTGCTGATCTCAGATCCCCAGCGATACAAATGACGCCATCTCCAGGGATGTGCGAGTCACGCTGGATAGAAAATACCCACCCCGATGCAACAAGTCAAACAAAGTTGAGACCGCGAGGCAGATGTGCTCACCAGAAAACCGCCGCAATGCCTCGACAGCTATAAGCATTCGCATTCGGTCGGATCTGAGCTCCAACCTGCAACACGGCACAATTTCAACTGTTGCGCTGCCACCGTTTATACGTCTGGGCCCGAGAGGGACTGCCTGCGAGAGAGCTGCTGAAAAGCGACTCTACTCATATCCTCCGCGGCATTCCCCCGGGGGAGTCGAAAAAAGATGCCCCCCCCCCCCTCCCACCCACAATCATCTCCAACGTGCTGCATTAAGCTTGCTGTTTCTATCGACGCAACTTTAACAAAGCTCTCTTTTCGCCGAAAGCGTTGTCGATGCATGATGGTTGCATTTTTAACGTCTTGACGATCACCAGAAGCGGTCGTCAAAATCATCGGCGTTGAGGCGCGCCGACCGCATCCGTCCGTACGTACTCTGCGTTGCCAGTTGATCGTTGATCGTCTGAATCCAGTGCTGGCAGAGTCCCAGATTGTCACAATAAAATGTGACGTCGTCGCATCGCCACTGATGCTGCGTCGTCCTCCTCACGTAGAAAACTGCATCAAAACAAAACACGTGCGTACGACTCTGTGGTCAATGCTGTCGTCAACTGAACAGCGTGCTTATTTATTTATCCATTTTGCTAAAAATGTTCCCACGTTGACCGTTTTTTCCCTCCTAGCCGAAATGAAATATTTGCAGCGGTTGCGTCCTTGAAAATGTGCACGGCAAGCACTCTTTCAGTCATTCGCTCTGATGAGTTACGCTAATCTGATCATCTGGTTTGGCCGCAATCTAATCGTCATCTACCTGAGATGCGGGGCACTTTCCGTGTATGATAACGTAAGAGCCGCCCGTCTATGGGCTTATTTCACTTAGCGTCAAGGAAATTTGCATGAACGACCGGTTTGCAAAACAACGCCGGCTAATATAGCACGTCATTTGAGTGACAGAATATTCCCGAGATTTCACATGGCGATTTATAGGAACTGATGAAAAGAAAGAACCTCTAGAGCAGGCGGTCTATCCGCAGGGCCGCGCTCGAAATTTTGAGCCTTATCGCCAAACTCGAGTTAAAGCTTCTCAAATTGCCGCTGAAGTGCCGGAAAAAAATATATATATATCTTGTCTGGCGGCAATTTTGCGATGCTGCTCGGATGTCAGAGAGACAGCGCGAGGTTGAGCCTGTGTACAATATGGCTTACCTGTGAATGCGTGTGGGTTGAGCTGAAGGTGCTTTGTTGCCCTTGTCTGGTCGCTGGTGTCCGTCTTGTGTACGGCCACGATTTCAGATGTGTGAACGGCATGGCCGTGAGCTGCGGAGACATTTTCCACAATCCTCAATTATTCAACTGGCTTCCCGTACACGTGCCCGCAGGGCGTGATGTTTTTTTTTTTTTTTGTTTGCTGACGGTCTGCGTAATGAGTTTTGTACTTGTTTGTTCACACGTACGCAGGCGGACACCCCGTTTAATGAATATGAAACATCTACCCACCTTCCAGTGGAGAGCAATAGAAATATTCATGACAAGAGGCATCGTTTTCACGTGTGCGCCTTGCCGGTTCATCCGCTGGGTTTCCACATCAGACTACGCCGAGAATGTAACGGATGGGTGGGCCTAGAGCAAGGAAATGTCCAGGTAGCAGCTTATTTCACCAGGGAAATAAATGGGCAGGAAAAAGCTCGCCGAGTCCCGAGGGACCCGACGAGTGTTTGGTGAAGTAACCGCATCCCGTTGTCCCCCGGGAACGCCATTTAAAATGCTCCTTTTCCAAAGGCTGCACGTGTGATTGAAAAAAAAAACAAGACCCGCGTATCATTTATGGAGCCGTGTTCATGAAAATATATATTTTTTTAAAGTAGAACATGATCCGGTTCCTCCGGTCCATGGAGAGCGAGTCAGACAGAAGGCTTGCTGGCGGTTACATCAAAGATATTTAATCAGGACTAATGTACTACTTGCGAGAAAGCGAGCGTGGTAATTAAAGGCGGTGTTGCACGGCCAATTCATTCTTCTAAGGAATAGTTTGCCAGATGCCCCTAAAAACTCATTCAAAACTAAAGGGAAAAAAGATTTAGAGTGCCTCGTCGTTGTGGCTTTAAAAAGCCCCACAACAAGAGCTTTCGGGATTTTTTTTTTTTTTTTTTAGGATTTTGAGATTCATTTTATATACTTTGAGATATTTTTTAACCCCTAAGATTTGGCAGAATTGTGAAAAGATGAGTGCTTTTGTGGAGTGTCAAATTTCAAAGATGTGTTTTGTTTTCACTTGGGAGGGACTTGAAGGCTCATTTGCATATAGATTTTGGGATAGGTTTGATATTTATCCAGGCTTGGAACTAGCACGGAGTTGGTTTGGCTGAAAAAGGAACGGCTTTGCGACGGGCAAAGGGATTTGAACTGACCTCTTCGACTCTCGGGCGCATTCATTCCTCCCCGTCTCCCCCTGCCGAATTATGAAGTTGATATGGCGAAATGGATGGCGGGCGCCGCGACATATTATTTCTCTCCGGGGAGTCTGGCCAGGAATGGGATTTCATTTCATTTTCAAATAAAGATGATGCGGCGCGCAGGCGTGAATAAGTTTAACGGCCATCGATATTCACACTTTGACAAATAGGCCGAAGACTGATGGTCTTGAGGGGAATGGCGGGGCGGAGGGTAGAATGACATTCACTCCAACCGCTTAAACAAAATGTAAATGCCATTCAGACGCCGCGTATACGATTGCCTTACTCTCAATTACCCTTCTCCTCGGCTTATATGACAAACCCCTCAAACCGAGAACCGCACGTGTCTTCTCAGATGCTGGCAAAAATCGACACGTCATTGAACTCAAGTGTAGCAGATAAAAAAAAAAAAAAAAAAAAGTCGATGATTAATGGACAAAATGTGCCTGTTAATAATCACGACAAAAATACACGTCAAGGTGACTTGGCCCGTGTAACTCAGTGTACGTAATGTTATCTTGCTTATTGTTATCATGTTTATGAGAGTGCTGATAACGCTTTTTTTTTTTTTTTTTCGCTCCCTGTCTCTAAGTCACACTCAGGAAGCAAACACTCGGGGCCAAGGGGTGACTTTCTGCCAAGCAACAAGTGACCTCAAACATCATTAAGACCTGCGGTCATTTGAACATCTTGGGCAAGTCATTTGAAACTGTAGGTGGCGTTCCCATATCGCTGTCTCAGGTACGCACGCGCACACACACACACACACGCTTGGATATGTGCAGGCAATAATCCCGTCAGCACACACACACACACACACACACACACACACACACACACACACACACACACGCATTGCAGAACTCATCCCCTCCACATGCACATTTGGCCAAGTTTTGAGCCGAGTGAAGTCCTCTAAGCTACATGCTAAGCCCCTCGGCCATACAAGGCCCAGATCCTCTCTGCTCCGCTCTGACATCCTTGCCTTTGTGCTCCGAAAGGATCTTAGTAATGGCACTCGGCCACAGTGAGTGGCCCATTCATGCCGCGCAGCTCAGCGTGTTGCTTTTGAGCTCAATAGGTCGCCTCGCTGCTGAATGTCAGGTTTTTAGGAGCTATGATGAGTGTGTGCGTGTGGAGAGATTATCGCAGTTGAAGATGGGGAGGGTGGAGTGTTCAGGTTTTTTAAGAATCCAGGCATTCAATCCCAGGTATGTCTTTATGTATTTCCAAAAAAAAAAAAAATCATAGTAGGGTAAAGGAGGGTTTGAAAATGGCCGCCACTGAATGAGTTTTAATGTCGTCCTCAAAAAACAGTACATATGGCAATTTGTCGTTCATGTCACCTGACCAAATGAATGGCGCCCGGCGAGTGATGGCTTCAAAGGCCTCCAGAGAGGACCTTTATGTTCATGCCGTGGGCCTTCAGATGCAATCTAAAATTCATTTGCAACTCACTGTAACGGCCGTAAGAGCGCCATTCTGCATTCTAACAATTGATGGTGTTGTGTTTCGGTTCCTTCAGGCATGTTCCCGCTCATCCTGATTTACCAAAAACCAACGTGGCATCCCATCTGACAGGATTCCTCGCGCACATCAAAAACGAGGTTTGTCTCATCTGTTACACTGGCGTGGATCCGACTTCAAACACACGCCAGGCCTCACCTTCCTTTCCTTCAGCCTGACAAAAAAAAAAAAAAAGCTGCCTTATTCATATTCCGCTCCACTCCCATGCCCTCTCCGCCCCCCCCGGTTGTACACAGTGGATGGCTATGTAATCCCTTTGCCGTTACTGCAAGTTGGCAACAACAGCGTGTTAGAGGACAAGCCGGCGCAAGTTAAAGGAAACGTTCGCCGTGCCGCCCGCCGCTCGCTGTGCTGTTGAAGTCACGGCCATTTTCCTTTTCGCATGTCTCCCTCCGAGGATGCGAGCGAGAAGATAAGCGACGTTGCCATACGTATGCAGCAAAAAAAAGCACACTTTTCACACAAGCGCCACAATGTGAATGATGAGGATAGTCGTGCAGTTTTTTTTTCTTTCCCCATCCCTCGCCAGAAGGTCTCCACCCTTTTGCGTTGATTCATTGTGTAATTAGCTTCCCTCCTCTGTCTATTGACCCCAGCTGCAGCAGGTAAATAAATACAATCACGGTAATGAAAGGGCCCATATTGCCGCCCGTAATGCGGTAAAAACCTGCAGTTTACCCAATCTCCAGCTGTCGTTTTTCTGGCATTCCTCTCCCAGTATCCCCCGCCCCCCTGCGGCCGTCTCTCAACGTACAGACAGGGCCGTGCGTTGAGCGCCGACTTTAGATTACAAAGCACAGATCTGCCTGGGTACACTTGGCAGCGGACTGTCAAACACGACGTGCGGCTCGCTCCCCGGCGCAACGGGTTTGCTCGACCGGCGCTTAGGCAAACAGATGGAGACGAGAGGACAAGCAAGGTGGAAGGTGTAACAGGAGCGCTGCCTGTCGCTAGGGGTGCCGTGCTTTAGCTGCAGCTGGTTAGCCGTGGGGGTGGGGGGAGAAAGAGAGAGAGAGAGAGACACGATGCAGCCTTTCCAGATCCACCTGCTCCATCAGTTCCTATAATTGACGCCAAAATAGCGCTCTGCCTAGCCAAACAATGTCATTAAACCTGGGCGCCCGTGACGAGTCTAAAAAATAAATAATACTCTTCTTGTTTTGATAATCAACTGAGGAAGGGCAATCGTTTTGATAAAACCCTTTTTTTTAACACCGTGTATTTAGTCACTGTGCATATATTGATACACATTAGAGGTGCAACAATTAATCAACCACTAATAATCGATTAATCGTTTCGAGGCTTTTATACCCTTAATATTAACCAAATCCTAAATACAATAAATATTCTCGTTTCTTTTTTTTTTTTTTTTTTTTGTCCAGAATAAGACAACCATTTGAGTTGTTGCTCTTATTTTGAAAAACAATAATCAACATTTGCGTCAATGTGATCATTATTCATCAGTGAAAAATTTTTCCCAAACGCGGCGTAGTTCCTCCAAAAAAAGCTGCCGGCCCAAACTTCCTTCATTGCTCTGAGTGATTCGGCAACTGTAATTCTCTGGATCTGTATCTGGCTTTACCTTTAAACAGGGAAGCACATACCCTGCCACCCCCTCCGCCGGCGGGCCAAGTGAGGCTTTAGTGGGCCTGCGGTAGCGTCGCTTACTGAGCATAGTGATTTGAAGGCGAGAGCGTACGCCTTGAGTTTTTCAAAGATCTCCCTTCCAGGTGGGAGTCCGGCTTGCCTGCCGCTGCCGTGGTTTGACCGAGTGTCTTTTGAAAACTCAGGATCGCATCTCTTCTCCCCGCCTATGTGCCTGACTGACAGCTGCTCTGATTCAATGAAATCCACCGAAATGTCAACAGCGCCGTTGCGGTCCGCAGCTCGCGATGCACAAGTGACGTTGACTACTCATAACGAGTCGTCCTGACATTTACACGCACTTGATGTTTGGTTTGCGGGAGGACAAACATGAAAAGCAGGCCATACATAGTGAGGCTGTCGTGTCAAATGCATGACGTGATTCCCTGTGATACAATCTGTGAGTAATCGTTCGGCTCTGTCCGGTTCAACTCGTATTTGCTTTTCCATCAATCATCCGTCTCGTTTTAATACACGCATTTGGGAGTATATTTGAGATGACAATAACAACAATCCCTCCCACTCATAATTCGCATACCAAAGATTATTATTTCCAAAACGGTGGGCCTGGAACTTGTATTGTATCCTGTGTCTTGAAAAAAAAAAAAAGACAATTTCCCTTTCCTCCAACTGTCCATTTTGATCCAATTTGTCTCCGGTTTTGAGTCCGCCATCATGTTTCCGGTGACACACTCGGGTCCCAACAGTCACCAGGAGACATTTTGACGTGACCAACTTGGAACATCGGTTCAATAAAAACAAGTGTTTATGGCGGGATATTATAGGGCGCTTGATACCACTTTGAAGAAGGTCAATGGCCAGGTTTAAAGTGAAGTACGCCCACGGTAATTGCCCCGCTGGATACGCGGCAATGATCGTAGGCTGGGAAACTTGTTTACATGAGCAAACATTGGCCCTGGAGCTAATACCCATGTCTGCTGTGATCGGGCTTGCCAAAAAAAACTAAATAAAATTTTTAAAAAAATGCATGAACAGAAGATCGTAACTATTCGCAAATTATTAAATCAATAATTAGTAACCTGATTTTTCTTTGCAATAGTTTGATTACATAGATCGACGTATACATGGTTAGATGGATGGATAGATATAGGTAGTGTTCACACTCCTGTTCAAAACACTTTTTCTTTTTGTGTATGTGTGTGACAGGAAAAATATACCGGTATATCAATATTTTGCAGAGGCGGAAGTCAAAAATAAACAAGTGAGGCAAGTGTGCACTCCCTATTATAACAGGGGATGTGTTCAAAATTGACCAATCACGTTCGAACCCATCATGGGACTCAGCATGCGACTTTCACAATTTCAAGTTCCTCTGATGAAACCCAATTAAAGTTCAGCTTTTCTACGATGTTTTTTCCGGACATTTTAAGGTCACCATAATGGTAGAAAAACAAAAACTTGTCATTTTAACAGGGGTGTGTAGACTTTTTTTTTCTCCAATATCCAATAGATAAATAGGGACAATTCAAAAACGGGAAAAAAACAAAAATACTTTTGTATATAAGGATATAACTCATCCTGCCTCTGTTTTGGATGGAACTTACCTGTTGGGGAAGTGCTGCCAGAACTTCTCCTCCAGTTCTTCCTAATGTCCTTCCATGCAAGAAAATCCCGAAAAAGAGCGAGCTGTACTTGCCCGTACTTGTGGCAAAGGTCCGACAACAACAGCGCATGCTGATGATCCATTATTTAGTCAACTTTTGCAGCCGCCACCATAACAGACTGAGCTCACTCAGTGCATGCGCTTTTGTGTGTGTTGTCTCATGCTGTCAGGGGAACTCGTTTGGCGCAAAGATTCCGTACAAGTGAAAGATGATTCACACCAGGAAGACAAAAAAAGTATATACGGCGCAAAGAATGCAGCTTGTTGAGCCACTTTAATATCATGAAGGCGTATAATCCAGCTCGGCATGAACTATAATGCATTGTTCGTGCTCTTGTCTCCTGGTTTGTAGAATTAAACCGCACCAGGAAATGGGACGGAGTGAGAATTCATTGGCTAGAGTTTGACAGAGAAGCAAACTCTCTACATCAGCACTATCAGCTCTCATGACCCAAGGGCACGAAGCACCTGCCACTAGGGGGCCCCCAAACTTACACAACATTCCATTTGTTTTGTTTTTTTGTTCGATTTTTTTTTTTTTCCCATGACTTGGCAACCTCAGGCTGTGGATTGTTGTTATTTCAAGTCATAGTACCACTGGGAAATTGAAGCACCTGTGGGGAGAGAGAAAATGGAACTAAGGTTGCTTTGGGCCCCTAACAACAAAAAAGACTAACCGAGTCACACTCGGTGAAATAACTTTTGGGCGAAGAATAAAGAAAAGAAATAACACTCTCGAGGTAATATAAGACACGTTTTACCAATGAAAGTATGCACAAACTAGCACCCAGTTTTTAAATGATCAAGAGTCCTCTAATATTAGCTGCATTCATTTCATGTTTGTTGTAATACTTTGTAATATTGGTTAGTTTGAATGTTTTTGCATGGATGCATGGATACATAGACCGTAGAATATTGATCAATTTTGTTTCCTCCCTCTGAACCCCCCTCCCCCCATTTAAAACAAACATAATTCTGCTGTTTGTTTTAATAAAGTAATCTACAAGTCTACACAAGCCCCCTCGCTGCCCATCTTTAAAACTCGCCTCAAAACTCACTTGTATTCTTTGGCATTTGACTCAGCGTGACTCAGACTTGATCTTAGTCTTACTGTTTGGTGCTTTCTACCGTCCTGGTTACTGATTTATTGCTTTATTGTTGTATACTGTATATGATAGTTGCTCCATGTACAGCACTTTCTATGCAGCGATGGCTGTTTGCAAGTGCTCTGTAAATACAGGTGAGTTGAGTTGAATGACATTTTTTTAATTTCCAGACAACTGAAACAATGTAATTCTTTTTTCAATTTTATTCCATAGTTTTTTTCGCCTGGTCAACAACGGTCCGAGTTGGAAAAAAAAATCACAATCGTCGTCACGCGTTCCTCTGGCAAATCTCACTTGTGATTGGCCCACGATGCGGAAATGCCACTGCGACCAATCACAGACGCGTACTCACCGACTCAACATGGCAGCTCTCTGAGTTTTGCAGGAAGCAACCTAGTGTAAATAAAGCGTAGTTTGACGTTTTACCAGCAGCGACAGCGTCCGGGCGCCTTTCCTGAGGACCAGTCGGACCGGAAGGGTAAAATGTCGAGTGACGGAAACAAAAAACAATTCTGGAAAAGAAACGCGGCGAAGGTTCCCGGCAGGTGAGTGACGTGTTCCCTCTGCCGACGGCTAGTTTAGCTAGCGAGGCTAATTCACGCCTAGTCCCACTTGCAGAGATTCAGCCGTAAAGTTTCACTTTCCAGTCCTTGGCAAGCTGTTCAATTTAACACTCGCGACTTTTCACGCTACCCGAGTCTGCGGTGCATTCTCCTCATAGCTGCAATTCGCACGTTTCAACCCGGCTAAAGCTGCGATGCTAATAGCGGCTATCGCAATCACAGACTTCTCTCATTCCACAGCAGTACAAATAGGCGCTCAGATTTGACAATAAAATGGCTGCACTGGCTTCTAGCCTATTCGTGATCTTCTAGTATGTGATTTCGCTCAGCTCAGCATGCGCTGACACTCGTTCATTCAGTGTGTCTATGTCACTTTCCCCAGCATTCAGCATGTGTATGGCGCACAGCATCCACCTTTTGACCCACTTCTTCACGCTAAGTAAGTGCACCTTACTGTGTATGTTTGTATGTACAGTATTTGTTTGTGGGTGTGGTGCATTGTTGTTTGGTATTATCGTACCTCTTCACCGGCTTATTGTGAACACGCAAAAGGAGGAAGTGCCCTTACCAGAAAATCAAGTTGTGTTTGAACTGCTTTATGGGAAACTAATCAAACCAGGCCTCAAGACTAGCAGCTTTATATATATATATATATATATATATATATATATATTTAAGCTACATGCACATTGGGTCCTACCCAGAAAATTTAGTGGCGCAAGTAGATCATTTGGGGCGCAGAATGTAAATATTCACTTCACTCATTTTCAGTATATTACTGATGAATACGGCGACATGTGGAGCAGATATTTGTTAGAAACAACAACAGAAAAATAAATCTGCATATTACTGGTGCGACATGCACAGATTAGAATTAAGTTGTAGGAGCAAAACGCCACCATTTAGGAAAAAAAGAATCCGATGTTCTTGTTTATGAATTATTTTTATGTACTTTTTTTAATATAATTTTGATGCATGCACGTTATTATACAAGGTGTCTCAAAAGTCTGAACCTTGGAAACTGACAGCAGTGTGGAATCCCTGCAACAGGTTTCCATGACTATTATAACCTTTCCATCGCAAATGTTTGAAATTCTACTGAAGATGTTACGTGTTAGTAATCTGAGCGAGTGAAATTTTAAAGATGTCATGTGTCCAGACTTTGGGGGCTTTGGTTTTTAAAATATAGTAATCTGTATACCGCCGTTCGCGGACACCAAAAATGAAGTCCAGGGGAGAACATGCCTTTTTTTCAGTGTTTGTTTAATTTGCCATTTCTGCCGTTTCTGGATTTCTATAAAAGTAACTAATTCAATTTTAAGACCTTTTGAATGAACAGGGACATGTTGGTCCCTATACATGCTGCAAATAGTCGACAACCTCCACTTTAAAAACAGATTACAGCTCAAATGACAAAATATTTTTTAGTTTTTCTTCTTCCCGTTTTTCTAGTTTGATTAAAGCAGGGCCGCGACCGTCTCCTGCCACGCCGGGCAAGCCCAAGAAGGCCACCACGTTCCAGGAGTTTGAGAGCATCACGAGCGATGCCTGGGACGTCGGGGATGACGATGACGAGCTGCTGGCCATGGCCGCGCAGAACCTCAACATCGAGGTCGTTATGGAGACTGCCAATAAGGTAACAATGAGATTCTTTGCTCGCTACCGAGCGAGTCGTCAAACCTTGGCTATGCTCTGCGCAGGTGATTGAGAATCACAGCAAGTTGCAGGAGAGACAAAAGCTGGATGATCCAGCTGAATTGCCCCAGAGGGACGACGACGTGCAAGATGAGGAGGAGGCGGTGGACGACGACGAGGAAGACGAGGAGGGAGATTTGACCAGTCCGGAGGTTTCATTCTCTTTCCAAGGTAGCCTGGACACTGAAGGTCGCCTGGTGAAATCCCACAGCGAAGCTCCCATTGGATCACCGAAAGGTTAGTAGCTCGCACTCCTCATATTTGGGTTGAAGTCTTGACACCCAAAGCTGTCAACCGGAGTGATCTTTATATTCTCATTATGTCATCACTCTCAGTCCTAAGGGGGGGAAAAAAAAAATCATTGCAATTCTCCATTTCCGCCTGTGAGGTGCTATTTGATGATGCAGGCCAGGGGGGTCAAACTCAGGTCCTGCAGGTCCGCTCGCCTGCATGGTTTCCAAGTCTCCCTGTTGCAACACACCTGATTCAAATGATCAGATCACCAGCAAGCTCTGCGGAAGCCCGACATTGAACCTGTTCGTTTGAAACAGGGAGACTTGGAAAACATGCAGGCCCTCCAGGACCTGAGTTTGACACCCCTGATGCAGATGATTTCTGGCAGCGCATCGTTAGAGAGAAGCGCCGGCGCAACTTGACGACAGGCCAGAATTGAACTTCGCTGACGTTTGAAGTGTTCTCACCAGCCGTCGGCTGCGCTCGCATTTATTCCACTAAAATGATTCGAAAGTGGGGAGCTTGTGGTCGGGGGTGGGCACAGCTATCACTCCGTAGATGTTTGCGCAGTGGAACTTCCAAAGTCGAATGCAGTTTTACATAGTGTATATTTGTAACGCTTTTCACCCATATGCATATGAAGAAAGTCAATAGAGAGGTTGCCGCTGATTATACTCGACAGCTGTGTGTAACTCGTTTTAAAAAAAAAAAAAAGTCCATTAGAAAGTTTTTTTTTTTTTTCCTTTTAATCATACAGTACAGCTTGTCACATGCACAATCTGGCTGCCTGTCGGGCCGTCTGCTGTCGGATTCGTTGCGGTGTTGAGATTACATAAACAACTCACTGCCCTCCGGCGCTTCGTCTCATCTCCTTGGAGACGACGCGGCTCGCGCTCACGCGCGCTGTCAGATCGGACGGATATGCGCATATGTAAGACAAGTTATTTTACACCTTCGGGGAGAATGATGCAAAACCCCACATTAGAGATGCAAAGCTGAATAAATGAATGGCTGATGCATTCAGCAGGTGGGTAAACAGTACGCTGTGTTTATGTTTCGTGGCGTCACTGCGTTGGACATATTGAAGTCAACTCAGCAAGGGGGGACATCTTCTGTACCTGCGTCCCTGTTTGGGATTTGTTTTTGGCACAAGCGCAACTCGACACTTGTCACTCGTGTTTGCGCTGTGTGTCTTTGGAGTCTTTTGGGTCGCATCTGGAACAACATTCGGCAGACCGAATTAATGCTTGTCCCTGCTGCCGTGGTGGCTTCACACTAGAATCACGCACATCTCGTAGCAAGTCATTGGGGGGAGGGGGGGAGGCGGCGGGTGACTGCCACCAACACTAATTACAGTCGTTTTCACCAGGCGGCATGCTTGCAGCAAAACAACATTAAAAGGAAAATGGTCACATCACTTTCAAAATGGAGATTTGGATGGCATGCTGCAATGTAGTGCAGACGGTAAAATCTTGCCTTTGGCGCATTCCTCCTCTAATGGGAAATGGGGTCATTCTTTTGATATTAAAAAAAAAAAACACCTAACGAGACCGCTCGAAGCAACTTTTCATTCATACACTATTCCATCGAGTTGCATTCATTCGCGGTGCACTCGTGCTCCGTTTAGATGCTCTGCGTATATTTTGTTGACTAGAATCAGTACAATAACCCCCCCCCCAGTTGCCCTTTCCACAAAAGTGCACTTTCATTCAATGCAGCTTTGTACCATCTAAAAAAAAATGCGAAAACGACCAAAATTTGACTTTTCATCTGTCAGGCAAAAAATACAGTAGCTTGTGTGTTTTTCCGTCGCCTCTCCAATGCCCCCGCTAACCGCCCCTTTATTTTCCGCTTGCGGCAGATGCAGCGGGTGAGCACGCGGCCCTCTACAGACAGCGCTCGCTGCCCCACCGGCCGGTCATCCCACTTGTGGCGCGCATGGCCGACCAGAACACATCGGGCACTCCAGCCATGACGGAAAGGGAAGCGTCACGTCTGGATAAATTCAAGCAGTTGTTGGCTGGCCCCAATACAGATCTTGGTAAGACACGTTCAGATTTCGTGGTTTTTTTTTTTTTTTTTTTTTTTTTTGAAGCAGTTATGCTTTGACTTTCTCGGTCACGAATTTCCATTCCTTTGCACCCGTTTGGCTCTCAGCTGTAGTCGTTCCCGCTCACTTATTCTGCCAGCTGTGCTGCACTTTTAACAATGTAAAGCGACACGGACGGGGGCGGGGGGTGTCACATAACCGTCTGGAGGCGCAGATTAGGATGAGACCGAAAACACCAGCACCTACGACGCCAAATAACGGCGCTTTTGTTCTAGATACCACTGTATAAACAGTATGCAACAGCTTTTTGAATATTTTTGTTTGCTTGCAGCACAAAGCAGCCCTATTGTGAGATTGCCGTACTCATTGAACCCCTCACCAAATCTCCCCTCAAAGCCTCTTTCATCATGTGTCCTTTGTGTCATGCCTTGAGCGCTTTCTGCGCGGCGCCTGGAGAGCCCTGGAGAAAAAAAAAAAAGGAGAGCATGGAGGGAATTAGCGCTGAGCAACTAATGAGTCACGGGCTTATGCCGAGCACGCAAAGTGTCGGGAATAGTTTGATGCAGAAATGCCCTGATGTATCGCAACTGTGACAACGAGGCTTAGTTAAGGCTCTGCGCTGTGATGACATGTTCAAGAATGTGAACTTCATTCATGGGACAGTTTCAACGTGTATGATGAAAAAAAAATTTTTGTTTTGTTGTGCGTGATGACTGCACACTCTACATTTAAAGTGAAGTCACATGTCCGTGTACCGAAAGTCACATGCTGGCCGACCCTGGAAGTGGGGCGTCTGGTCCCCCTTGTGTTGAAAGAGCAACTCGGGGTATCTGTCCTTGAGCTTAAAGGAGGGCTGTAGGGATGATCAATCGGTTCACTTCCTCTCTTGAATTGTGCAATTAATCGCGGCGGCGGCGGCGTCTTTTTGGAGGACAGGCCCCCCGGCGTGTCAGGGCTGCCTGACTTTGGAGGCACGGCGTCAGGGTGGTGTCCCTCTGTAATCATTGCGGCATCAACACACCGAAGCATCGCGGTGTTCTTCACGCGCTCGAAAAAGGCTACTTTGTTTGACATCAATTCTGTCTGCCTCGGACATTCATAACACTGTCCACGCTTGCCCCTCCCTCTGTCTCCGTCGGTGACAGCAGTCTGCTTAGCGTGTAAGGTCATGCGGTGGGATGCTGACCTGTGCCTTTGCAGAAGTGGGCTGATTGATGTCAGGTGGGTTGCGCCTAATTATTGCCCATGTCCGGAGGCGAGCCTGCCACAGCGGCTTTGAGTGTCAATGTGACGTTCATCAGTGAATGCGTTGCCTTCATTTTGAGCTTCAAAATAAGAGCGTCAAGCGGAAGTGCAGAAAACGTCATCCCTTCATCCTCTTTGCTGCCCACCGGTGCGCCTCCGCTCTGTTGGGGGTGCTGCGGCGCTTTGCCTCTCTTTTCGCACATGGTGATTGGACCACTGGACAGCAGTGACACTGGCTAAAAAAAAAAAAAAAAAGCCCCCCTCTTCTTGGCTTCTGCTGTCTGATGTCGTCACAGCATCAGCACTGCGCCCGTGCCAAAATGGTGACGCGACTCGATTGATTTCGCTGCTGATGATGCTGGGCTAGGCCTTTTTAGTGGCGTTTGCCACTGTAAAAGTGCAGAAGCCTCGAATGCAGCGTTCTGCTTTCATGCATCGGACCAATTCATCAAATGCAATTTTCAAATTGCCAAGGCTGCAATTTTCTGCCTTTTTGCTTCCTTTTGGTCAGTCGGTTGGCTTTACTAGATATATATTTTTAATAAATATGTATACTTTTGTCAAATCCAATTTTTGTTCATTGTAATACGAAAATAATCGCAAATCATTCAGCCCTAATTCATAGTGCCTTGTGTGTTAATATGCCAGACACATATCTTACTCGGGCTTGCTATGCAAGCACGATCCGAATCTGAATCTTTTTTTTTTTTTTTAAATATCAAATTATCAGGTCATGTTTAAGCCACAGTCGCTGCAATCAGGACATTTGTCGCATCGCTACGGTTATAATTCAATGCGTGTATTTTTATTGAATGGACCCACTCTGGATCTGAATTGTGTCGTTTGATGAGGCTTCTTTATTGTCAGGCGCCGTATGAGAGAATTCATCACAATCGCAAGAGCAGGTCTCAGGCTTGTGCTCGCGTTCGCACGCCACTTGTTCATTGTCACCTGAATTCACTGAGCATATTCATTACGCGTTCGACACTTGCTCAGCCGCCGCGCACAATGCAATTGTCGTGCGAACGTCACAGAAAAGGGAAATTTCCAATAAAAATCGTGATATTGCGGCGACTGCGACGTTTCAATTAAAAGGACACACTTACCCGCGATCGTACGCTCTCATATGGCCAATGTCCCCTTTCTGCCATCTGTGCCATCAATCAGGCTGCCTGAGCAGGTATCATCGGTTGTGGTGGTGGAGGGGGGGAGAATTTTTACAAGAGTCTCGTTAGTTTACGAGCATTCTGGCGGCAGGGCGTCGTCCTTTTTAGATGAGTTAGATCGTCCAAGAATCTCGCCGCGTTGAAGGTTTATTGGAGGGGGTCTTAAATTGTTTTTAACACCCTGCATGATAAAGATGTCACTTGTAATAGCATTGTTTTTTTGACCTCCCAGAGGAGTGTCAGACAGCGCAAGGGAACAATGGATGACATTTTTTTTTTTTTTTTTTTTTTTTTGTCAAGAGGTGCTTCGGATGACACGAGTGGGTCGTATTGCAATGAGACATCACCGCACACACGTTGATTATTCCGTTGTGAGAAATTTCAAGTCAAACTTATTTGAGCCTGGCTTACTTGAAGGCTTTTGGGGTTTAATAATGGCCCCGTTTCGCTCAAGAGTTGCAGCTACCTTTTAGAGTCTGAAAACAACGTTACCGTTTTGCCAAATTTCGCCATCTAAACTATTTTTTCCGTGAGCTCGAACTGTTTTAGAAATTTCAAGTCAAAGGTCGGGTCCTGGTGAGATGTTTGTTCAATATTGGAGGGTTCCTAGCAGCCGCCCCCATTTCATAAAATTTTTCTCATAGAAGATAGTAAACTGAAAAAAAAAAATGCTTCCTGTCCGTCAACATTTTTGCGCTTTTGGATGGTCCAGAAATTTGGAAAACATTCCGTTTGAGATTTTTATAATTCTGCAGCAGAGTAAGCTGTGCAACAAGGTCCAGGTTAAAAAAAAAAGAAGCAAAGTTTGTAAATTCCAGATTATTTCTTTATTTCTTTAACAGCTGTATGCGCTACTCACGGGAAAAAAAAAAAAAAAAAAAAAAAGCAAAGTTTGTAAGTTCCAGATTATTTATTTATTTCTTTAACAGCTGTGTGCGCTACTCACGCGAGTGACCCTTGCTTTGCCCCAGTGATCCCGCTCCATCTGACTGGTGCCTGAATAGTTCATGGCTCCGGCCCGCCAACCCCCTCAACCTCCCGCACCCATCAAACTCCCCTGCGCCGCCCGCGCCGACTGACAGCTCTTCTTATGTCCTCGCTGACGTCCGACCTTCTGACTGGACGCGCGTTGTTTTTGTAGCTGTCACACAAGCCTGCGCACACGCAGGCTCGGCTCGTACGCTGACTGACAGGACGAGTAGACATGGAAGCGGGGCCTGCTTCGTGTACACGCCATCACCGGCACTCGTAGGTTTAGGTTGGAAGGTCAAGCACCTCTGCCGAAAAGGTTCTGAGCCCCGGTTGAGGTTATTTGAGGCATCATTGTGCCTCCGAGGTTTCCATACCGGAGCAGCTGTTGTTGGTGTTCAACAGAAGGAACATTGTGTCCTAATCACCCCCCTGTGGTCTGCAGTTTCACTCAATCCAAGACAAATTGCACCACTGGAAGGTCAGGCTTAATGGACACCAGTCAGACGGGTCGGTGCTTATGCTTGCCCTTGTATATTGCTAATGTTACAAGTGGTGTTATTTTTTTTTTTGTGTGTTTTAAAATAAATATGCACTAAGTGACCAACCCTCTGGGGTGCGTGCCTGCCGGCAGGATAAGCATCCGCTATACTGATCACGCTAATTCCAATGTATAAAATAATGTGATGTTTTATCGGTCCCATCGGGGGGGGGGGGGGATTCAAGCTTTGACATGCTCCCCCACTTGCTAATGTATATTTTGAAATGATTGTCTGCGGAATAAATTGCCTGTAAAGTATGCGGTTGCCTTAGTGAGGCTGCCCTTGCGTTTATTCTATCGAGACCGCTTAAAGAGACGCCTTCAAATTCGCAATTGAGTGGACTTTTTGCGTTCCGACACAAATTAGGACGCGTAGAGAGAAACGGGGAGGCGCGCTGACAAAATTTTCCCCGCCGCATCGCATTGTTAACTTTGCTCATCAAACATCAACATTATGGCGAGTCGCCCTCGCCGCCCACGGGACAGTCGTCGAAACCTCTCACTCACGACGACAGATTAATTTTCAAAATGATATGAAATGTCTTCAATGTATTCCAACGGTAGCCATGGCACGGCTGTCCAACTCATAATGCACACAAGGCAACCTCGGAGAGATGACTTCGCCTAGCGCTAATAAAACGACATCTGCAATTTAGCCCCGACGTCCTGTATGTGTCTGCCTGCTGAGAAATTGAATTTTGCTCTTCTCAAATAAACTTCCAAAGAACAAGCGACCAGATGAGTGCTGGTAGGTGGCGCGCATCGAGAAATTATTTTCCTAACATGTACAGTGGGTCGTCAATGTTCTCATCTGTCTCTGCTTTATAAGTTGCCTGGGCTGACTGTGATTTGGTTCAGCATTGATCCAACACCCCGCTGGAGTGCGATTTTTGCCGGCGTAGACGCTGCGTTTGCAGTTTTGCCCGCCTATGATGCATGGCTCTAAACGCCCCCCACCCCACGTAAATATTCGGGTTCATTTCACCTGCTTCCCGTTCATTCTCAAATTCTCCCATCGTCGAAGTAGGGGCATACTCTGGGCGCGATCGGGATGTACCATTAACCGACTCGAACCCTCCTCCTATGGTGGCGAGATAGATTAATGCCAGGTGTGAGAAATATAACATAGTTTAATTAAGCCCGAGTCCGCAAGATTCATGGACTCATTTCGTTGTCTGACAGTGCAAATGAAGGTTCAAAGGGTGCACGGCAAGAGAAAGGGACACCCTTGACTAGCTCTTAAAAGAATAATGAATGCGGAGCTGCTTGTAGGATAACGATTTCGCCCTTAATGACTTCGGCTTCGGCGAAAAAACGGTACATAGTTTCCCCGGCGGCTCCCCCCCCCACACCCCCCACTCCCCCCTTCCACATAAAGGCAGATGTCATTGGCGGCTGACTAATGATGCATTCAAAACACACACTTTTAAGCACTAGATGCCTCTGCCGCTGAGCTGGATAGACGTTTTTAGTCTCGCGGTTGTGATTTCAAAAGGCAGACAAATGTGATATGTACATGTGTGATTTTTTTTTTCTTTCACTCTGCAACGAACATGCCTCAGGGGATAACAAGCTTGTTCCTTCATCTGTATGATTGACCGTACAGTAGGAAGGTCCTGTTATCTTGCCCCCACCGAAAGGAAAGCGGCCCGTATTCTCAAAGTGTCTTGTTACACTTGCCACTTAGTGTAGTTGTAACCAGCCCGGCATCGCAAAGCCCTGCACTGCACTAGATCACTATTGAATTTCTACATAATTAAAGCCGCGCCGGGGCAAAGTAAGTGAGAATTTTTTTTTTTAAAGCAAAAGACGCAGCAGACCCATCGTGGGGGGGCGGGGAGGAAGGCCACTTTCCATCGGCCAAACAAGCTGTAATGCGTTTCACTCAATTTAGCCAACTCGTTGCTGTTTAGCTGATTTCTATTTCCTGTCCCACTCCGTCTCTGTCTTCATTGCATTTGCCTTGAAGAACAGGCCAGGCGCAGTCATTTGGCAGCGCTAATCAATACCATTCACTCCGCGTGAAGACGTTATCAATTCCCATCCTGTGCTTTGAGCGCAAGTCATGGAAGAAATTGCTTTATTTCTTTGCCGCGTTGGTACCCTTTCTTTTGCTTCGGGAACATAGCACCAGGCGGGAGGACTTTCCCCTTTGCTGCGGCCATCACTTACTTCCGTCAAGGTGTGTTGTCAGAGAGGGAGACGCCGTCCGTTTGATGTAAAGCGCCGTCGCGCGCATTAAGCCCTCCTCGGCCTCTTCATTGACTCTTTTTAAAACCGCCGTCAATGTTCAATTTGCACCTCTTCATTGGACATATTTGATGCGCCAGCCCTCCAGCTCGCCTACCTCGCCCGAAGCAACGTTGTTATTCATCATAATTTGTTCTTAAAAAGGAATGAAATTGCGAGCCAACTCGACTGCGTGTTTTCTTTCATTGACTGACTTGACTGTTTAATTGAACGATCCTCCGATGATTTTGTGAATTTTATGTTATCCTCGCTCTGTATTGTTCTGCATATATATATATATATATATATATATATAATATATATATAATATGTATATATTTTTTCAAAAAGCACTCAAGATTTTGTTTTTTTTTTTGGGGGGGGGGTTGTTTTACAGAAGAGCTTCGGAAACTCAGCTGGTCTGGAATCCCGCGACAAGTCCGACCAATCGCGTGGAAGCTCCTTTCGGTAAGTTTACTTTTCCTTTCAGTTGGTTAAATTGTTACTCGGGTCCGACGGTTTTAAAAAGTCCCACTAATTTGATTATTCAGCCCCCCCAAAGAAAATTGCAGCCCTTGCTATTTGAATATCGCCCTCTTACTCCACTGCGGTGCCGATTTGAATGCGATTAATTGCTCGGCCCAAATTGTTGCAAAACTTAAGGCTGTTTATCAGTAACCTTGGAAGAAACACAACCGTTCAAAACAAAAGTGCACACACAGCCGCTCGCGCTAATAAACTTGTAGCAATAATAATAAACGCATAACAGATGATCACCACGCACGCACATAAAGTTGCTGTCATCATCTTTCTCCTGACCCTGCTCCCTGTTTTGATTTATGAAGACTGCGAACGGTTTGAGTGTGCCTTTTTTTTTTTTTTTTCGAAAAACTTGAATAGGGAAAATTAATTGTGAGGAACCAATAATTTATTCATGAGCCACCGTGTGTTTACTCATTAAGCCATTGTTGTGGCGTACGGCTCCGAGTCTGCCGAGAGATGACGGGCTTTTTTGAGCACCGTGACTCTCCCATTAATTACCTCACAATAGCTAATGTGCCGCAGAAAAGATGCCATTAAAGGTGCGAGACGTGTGGCTGTTTTGTGCGGCGCTAGCTGGTGTGACGCATCCTTATTTGCCGCCGTATTAAATCGACGCCACTGGAGACTGCGTCGGATGCCACGGTGTGCTACGGAACGCGTGTTTGGATGTGTGTGTGTGCGTGGTTGCGTAAGTGCAGCTGCCCTCTGGCGTTGGTGTGTGTGAGAGACCGGCGCTTGCCCGTGGAGAAATAAATGTTCAGGTAAGTGGCAAGTGGTGTCGGGCACACAACGCACCACAGCATGCGACAGAATTCTGACCGCCCTTTTCTTCTGCAAGTCCGCCCGCCCTCTTGGTCCAAAGCTTTGTTTTAATGTCGCAATTTGCGTGAGTGGAAGATGGTCTTAAGTGTGTCGTTTGTTTATATATGACTCGGCATGTAAGCAGCATACACTGCGGCTGGAGTTCCATCATCATGAAACATTGAACATGCAATGGTTGAGTCACTTGGAACATGCCCGGACGGGAATTACCTTGGGCGATGAGCCTCGTGCCGTTTCGCGCTTGAGATAACGGCGTTGTTGTGGTCACGTGACAGGCTGTGCTTTCAGTTTAGATATCCCCCCCAAAAAAAACCCTTCTAAACGTGATTTCATTTTTATCGTCAAATTAAAAACGTCTCTCTTGTGAATGATCAATTGAAATAAATGTTTTACCTCCACATTTAATAAAATAACCATTTCAAATCCAGTTTTAACTCTTGCAAATGTTACTATGATCAGCAAAAATATGAAATGTCTGGGGACAATTCATCCCGAGCTGCTGCCTTTGTGCTTCGGTGCTGCTGTTTAGGTTCGCAACATGGGCTGTTAGCAGAAGAACAATACAACGAAGGGGACGCATCTCTCCAGTAAAGCGCGATTGGATAAAATTTGATCAATTTAAAGTGGAACAATTAATTGCGATTCAAAGGAGGGGTTGATTCGATACAGTATGGCTCAAGCCAATTTTCAAATTCAAACTGTTAATTTTTGTTTGCCCATCCTGACTACAGTGACTAATGCCTTTTTTTTTTTTTCGCGGGGGTGGGGGAGCGATGGGGCCTATTTGAGGGTTTATTTGACTTTGCGGTGTTTGTATTTACTGTTCTAACAAGCTCTATATCCGAAGCTTCTGGCCCACCCGGTGAGGATTTCAACGGAATCCTTGATCTCGCCGTATGAATTATCGCCGGGTTCAATCCAAACCTGGGATTAAAGCTCGCCGTCCAAAAGCACTCATCTCTTCCGGAAATGTCATAACACTTGACTGCCTCTTCTGTCCCGTCTGCGTCGCCGTCGGAAGGCAAGATAGATCGGAGGGATCAGGCTCGAAATCTATTCCCAGTCCGCGCACACGCACTCGGGCTCGCAGGCCTCGCCCGGGTGCCATAAACTTGGCACCGACACCTAATAAAACTTCACTCCACTGATGTCCCTGGTGCCCTTCTGCGGCTCACCGGCATGCACCGTCTTATTTAGATTTTTTTTTTTTTTTGGTACCTGACAAAGATGGGA